AAATTAGTAATGGTTAATGTCGATGCAAACACATTTCCTCCGCCCAATTCATCCTATGCGATAGACATATTATTTTGTGATGTTGGCGTTGCTGCTGCCACTACCACCAGTTGTAGTACATTAATCTTACAATTTAAGTTTCTACGGCTACACTATCGTCAGTGACCCACACAAATAACGTTTTAAAACACCGTTGATTCAGGGATTCGTATAATATATCTGAGTATAAAACACTGACTTTACAACCAACTCACTGGCACTGCAGTTTATATACAGAATATTCCGCATAATTTGCAAAGAAATTAAAGAAGACTTCCTGTCTGCATAGTTCAATCCAGATTCTCCAATAGATTATCCCTTTGTAAAGCCATATAACCGTACACAGCATCTATTAAAAATTTTTGTGGTGACGTACTTGGTGTTGCAAAGTACGTTCGTTAACATACTTACACTCAACTGTCTCTTCCTACATTATACATTGATGCTCAGTAAGAAGGATTTGAGTGACACCTAATTATTATTGATTTTAGTCATTCTTACCAAACATCAAAGTTATAACGATCTTATTTGAAATTCTAGGGTGGGAACCAGAACAAAGTGAGCTACACACGGGCTGAGGGATCATCATACAAAGAGAAAATAAATGTAATAAATTTATTTAGGAACTATAACAATTTTCATAATGTTATAAGTGATTGTTTTTACGTGGACCTGAACCAGTTACGTTGCGACTCTGTGTTTCTATTTTACGTCTAAAAAGAAAGTAATTTTCAAACTTTACTGTCAGTATGTATGACCCAAACTCTGACTCAAATTATTTTACGCCAATAATGTTGATAATAATGGTTAAGGACAACATAAATACAGATCTGCGGTAACCTCTGTTCAAGTAAGTTTTGTTTAACACGACCTATGTGGGCTATTCCGATCATAAGACCAGGGTTGCCTTGTAAACGTTCATTACAAGACAAAGTACAAAACGGAAATAAGATAAATTTGTAAATTGTTATTTTTATGCTACAGGTTACTTTCTTTATCTGGCTGGGGGGTTCGGTGTAGCTGGCGGTGTACACCGCTTGTGGACCCATCGCACGTACAAAGCCAAATGGCCGCTCAGGATAATTCTTCTCGTCTGTTTCTCCATTTCAGGGCAGGTATGTCAGTTTCATTTACAGAAAATCAAATATGGAATATTTATTTTGTAAGGAAATGTGAGGGAGTGTCACAAAGTAGGTTAAAGGCACTAAATTTCACATTCTCATACCTACACTCTTAGTATCCATTTTAGTATTATCTACCTTTCTACGCCCACTTCTTATAAGTTCCTAGTTTTATTAATTGACTAATTGAATGTTATATTTTGGGCTAATATTTTGGACATTATCCATCGTCTGTTGTTTCTCATAACAAGACGTCAGAGACTAGCTCCTTCTAAGGGACCCCACAGAATAGGAACGTTTTGTCCCACCTATTTTACCTGATGACAGGGACAAACCGAGTTTCCGAGTTTTCGTGTCATGTGAAGCAAAATACGATGGATAATGTCCAAAATTTTAGCCAAAACTATTGCAATACACCATTTTCAATAACCGTTAAACTGATCTGAATTGAACTTTAGATTCTCACGGACTGTGTTCAGTGACATTTGTTGCCTTTACTTGGTGCGTAACGTTTTGTGACATTCCCCTGAAATAAACATGTTCCAGAAATGAAACAATTTCTTATATGTCTATGTTACTTTATTATTATAAATGATTACTACGTCGCGGTCAAGTGGTTGTCAGTCTTTAGTCATATTTGGCGAGTCTCAGTTTCGAATCACGACTAGGAAATGACAAGTCTTTAGTAATATGTTTCGGTATTTACATCAGTTGCGATGGCAAATTCAATGCCACGACTGCTTATTTTCACAGCCTTTTCAGTTCATGTCTCAAATCATTCCTATGTCATGCTAAGTAAAATAACATTGAAGTTTTCTGTCGCCGTGTACAGTTATCTGCGACAAGCTGATTTATTCGTTGGTTACCTAACGACACTTTTTAAATTTCTCTGGTATTGTAGCATCTTACAAACACAATGGCAGGAAATAATTAGTGTGCACTGCCACCTGCTTCAGTGCTGGCATTCTCCTAAAAAAATGTTCAAGTGTTCCTTATGACGTGTATCATCGAATATAAGTTAACCATAGTTGAACCTGTAATGAAGTACATAAAATGAAACAATGAAATTAATTCTTGTAGAATTCAGTGTTCGACTGGGTAAGAGACCACAGAATCCACCATAAGTTCAGCGAGACAGATGCAGATCCCCACAATGCTAACCGAGGATTTTTTTTCTCCCACGTGGGCTGGCTCATGCAGAGAAAACACCCTGAAGTCCTACGAAGGGGACGTCAGGTTGACATGAGCGACGTACTGGCTGACCCACTAGTCAGATTCCATAACAAGTAAGTGTATTGCACATACCAGATTACCATTTCGACGGTAAAAACATTAAACAGGAAAGAACCGTAATTTGCAAATTAAGAATATTATAGTCTGCAATGAAATAGTAAACTTCTTTTAAATTTTTTGTCAATATTAGAATTTAAATTATTTCCTCCATATTTTTGAAATTCATGCTGCCTCCGTCATCGCCCCGAAACGATGGTGGACATCTACCAGACTACACGGCGCAACAACCCAGAAGACAGTAATCTTCAATATGAGTGTGGTAACATAAAGAGCAGCGCGCATTTTGAAATTACACAAATATTCAGATTAAGATATGAAGATGTAGTTTATTGTAATTACTGATAATTTTCGAACACTAAGATGTGCCTTAATCCAATCCGGCACTATAATCTAGATTAAATTTACTTAACAGTGGAATAATTTAGACAAGGCTATGGATGTTTACAACACTTGCAGTTAAAGATTATTTAAATGTGTATTGGTGTTAAAGTTACTTGTGTAATTAGTTTAGAATTTGGCTGTTCCGATACTTGTTTGCACTCTCCAAAATGTATAGATGAAGCTTATATTTGTACATGAGGTGGAGATGGTAAGTAGGTTCGAAACTCTGAATTAGAGCAAACGTTCCATTGGCCGATTCATTCGTCATTTGAATTAAGTGGATTTACCTCCGGGAAGCTGCTTCAAACTCATTGGCAGATCATGACGACATGGCCTGATTTCTATGAAAGAAATGTTGGCACCTGCAAACAGTTAAATTAAAGGGTTTTAAAAGCTCTTGTTCACTGAGTCACACATTAAGTCGCCTCTCAATTGGAAAGACTGTCCAGTTCTCGACATTCAGTCGTCAGCTACTAGCAAAGTTATTATACGCGTAATTAATTTATAACATAATTTCGGATGTAAATGTTGACTAAGAAGGTGCTGTCCAAAAAACTCTCTTAAACCACTTTTCTAACATGTAAATGGAGTAAGCGCCAAAGGTTCAGTTTTTGTCCATCTCGGATGTTCTTTCCGAAATAGAACTCAGGACTAGCGGTGACATTGGTATCATGATGTATGTTACATTTTGTGGATCCAACCAGTTTTACTTTGTTTAGCATAGAGTTTATTATTAGGAAGGACTGCGGTGTCAAAAACAATCACAATAATCACAGAAAATATGTGGTCCTCGGTATATTACGAAGATAGTCATCAGCCATCCCGAAAGTCTTCGCGATTGCATGTAAAAATCGAATAATATTATTAATTACTGTGCATACGCCACGAAATTCTTGAAGGTGGAATTCTCCAGCAGAATTTCAGTTTCATTTTTGCGAATTTTAAAATACCTATGACTTTCATAGTTATGCTATAAATGTACGTGTCTCTGAAAACCCATTCTCCGTCGAAATCAGTGATGTTCCAGAAGGGATGCAATTGTGATTCAACTGCAGTATGACTAAATTTTGTATAGTAGTTTCAACCAGGAATCTTTATTACCTTCCATGTTGCTTTACCAGCAGGCATGTACAGTTTTTTTTTGTCTAAGTTCAGCCTATATAACAATTTAATGCCTTATAAGGCATTTTATATTTGTTCGATCCATTAAATCTAAGAATGAATTGTACAGAAGATTGTTCCTTTTACATGCCTACAGCCTACATGTAACCAACAGTTCATTAAGTTTGTCACTACTTTCATTATAGGTACTTTTCGTTGTTGAAGATGTTATTCTGCTTCTTCGTTCCCGTGGTGGTCCCACCACTTCTCTGGAGTGAGGGATGGTACAACTCTGCCATGGGCGTAGGCATTCTACGTTATGTCCTCCTGCTCAACGCAGCCTGGTCAGTAAACAGCCTAGCCCATATATGGGGCGGTAAGCCCTACGACAGGTGAGTGCTTCAAATCCCCGAAAGGACTGATGAACTGGGGAACTACAAATTATCTAGAGTATTTGTATTTTGCAGTTAAACACAACTTGTTATGAGATACACCTACACCAAAGGTTTTATGATTCGGCATTTATTTCATGCTATGATTTGAACTTACAAAATCGTAACTTATGTATGTAACTTAAGTATGTCTCTTATCGTACGTAACACAAAATAAAAAAAAATTAAAATATATAAATAACCTGAAATGTGTAACAGTTAAAATTACATATTATAACTGAAATAATTGTTGTGGATATGCTGACAGACCGTTAATACTTTACATTTTATAATTCACAATATATGACAAGTGTTTTATCAGTTGATTATTGCTGTAGGAATTAGCCTCAAACTATGCTTATTGTCTATGGTTGTGTGCTCTTCCATTAGCATAGATATTTTGTTGATCCATAAATGGGTGTGTTCTACAATTTTCTAAAAAGGTTTCGTGTTATGGTGTTGTTTCAGCGTTGACAAGGTGCACATAAATACTTCTCCAGTGTGCTCTCATTTATAAATTCAGTTTGTATGTTTTGAATTTTTAGGTAATTTGGTGATACTTATTGTATCTCTTCCCGTGTAAGTGATTGTACTCCAAGTTTGGTTTTGTTCTTACGCTTTTGGGTTTATACGAGCCGCGTCCCAAAAGTAAGTTTCCCTGGGGCCGTTTACAGAAATAAAACACAATTTCATGGAAATATTTATTGCAACAGATACAGCAAGTGTCCATCTATTTTTCAACATATTCGCCACCGGAATTGAGACATTTGTCATACCGTGGGACCAACTTTTGAATACCTGTGTCGTAGAAGTCTGCCGCCTGGGATTGGAACCACTGTGTGACAACCATCTC